TTATTTCAATTTTTAATTTTTTTCGTCGCGCTGTGATGACGTCAAATGCGCGCTTTCGTCGAGCATGATTTTATCCTCCACGGTTTTGACGGGTCACGGATCAAATGACAATAGTTCTTCAAGCAGGCATGGAGAACCTGCAGCTTTGTGGCATGGTGGTCAACCTGGGCAGTGAGTTGGAAGGCCATATAAATGTTCTTAAAGAAATAAATTCTATGATGGATGATACTTTCATACTTGGTTAGCCAATCTCAAAAGTTGTAGTTAGAAAACTACTGCCCTCCATATGGTTTATGTGCTGAAAGATTCCATTTGTTCACTTCAATTGTAGGCATGTGGTGATTTTTATCGTAAAATGCCATCAGTATGATGCCATACAGGTTTCGTTTCCGTTTTCAGCTAATGAAGAGAATCATTCCCAAGATTAAATAGTTGACAGACTGAGGAATAATATGAAATTCAATCTAACCATGAAACTCTGGTGTTGACAAATAATTGATCTCTCTAGAAACATGACCAACTTGTTCTGGGCGTTGGTACATTTTTGTTAAAACAGTTTAATTTCATTAGTTACTTAAGTCAGTGTTTCTCAACCTTGTCAACTTGAAGATGACTGGACTTCAACTCCCAGAATTCCCCAGCCAGCTGGCTGGGAAATTCTGGGAGTTGAAGTCCAGACATCTTCAAGTTGACAAGGTTGAGAAACACTGACTTACGGTAAGTTACCTAAGTTACTTCCTTAGTTTTTGTTACTAGTTTTTTTCACATAGTATATCTATTACCTATCTAGGATCAGAAAGTGCTTTGTTATGCTACTGCAGGGCAATGTATGGGGACTTTAATTGTCAATTCAAAATACAATTGGATCTATAAGCTGCTGCTTTGACAATTGGTTCATAGCCTTCCAGGCCCAATTAAATTGACACTACTGACCTTTAAAGACCTTCTAGAATTTAAGGGTGGATACTTAAAAGATGAATAACATTGATATAAGCCTGATTGTTGTAGTGAGATTATGAGGCCATTCTGAGGTGCGATGAATGGCAACCGAGAAGAGACTTTTTGTGCCTGAGATAAAAGTGATGAAATAATTGGATTAATGATTTGAGCAACTGCGGTAGAACCAGCACAAGTAAAAATCCATTCTCAGTCTTATTCTTCAATGTGCTGCTGAAAAATAATAAGTTGCTTTAGCTATCACTACAATACTAGTCATCCCTCAAGTTCTTCTTGCAGGAGGGGACTTATTGAATGCATTAGGACTGTTTCAAGCCCAATGGGCAAATCTGTGTCATATTTCGTGCATAAAATTATTCTTGTTAGATCCAGCGTAAGCATTCTGAGATGGATATTAAGGCCAGAGAAAAGAAACGTACTACATTCATTCTGTACTTAATGCATTTCTGAGTTCATTTAAAGTATTTGATTGGTAGTTAGGTTGCTTGGAAAATAATCTGTGCTCATATGCAGCCTTCCTGTGTTTTCAGGTCAGCATTGACATGCCTGCATGTTATTGTTAAATTGTATAACAGTGATAGCCCTAATTTCTGTCTATTTATTGCAAAACAGATCCTTTGATGTTCAGAGTTAATGGTTGATCATTAGCTTTACTGGATACTTTTCATTTTCTGTTTTCAACTTAATTTATTATATTTAATTTTTATTATTATATATGCTGTTTTACTGCATGGTGCTGTAAAGCTAGAAAGGGTGTTTTTATTTTAAAAAAAGCAGGGTAAAAATGCTTCTAATGAAATAAAAGCTACAGAGCTTAGATGATTCAGTGAAGGCATATCTTCATGAAAAGAAACACTGCCAGACAGAACAAGACATTCTACAATTAGTTCAATTAGTTAAAATAACTTTGTGTTATGTTGAGATTTTAAAATGTGATTTCAGAATAACACTGACATTTTGCTAACTTTCCATCTTTGTAATGTCACATGAATATTCAAGCATCATTTGTGATATTTTCCCCCTTCCTTTCCAGTGTTTGAATCAATGGCCCACTTAGGTAATAGTGAATTGGCTGGAAATACTAAATATCTGGCGATTACATATTTTCCCTAAAAGAAGCAGCAAGGGGGCGAAGAAAGTTTCTAAATTGTTAGACAAATTATTTTCCAGACTCTCAAGGTCTTTTGATATTTGAAAGTTCATTAGGCCACCAGTAAGATGTTGGCAGTAACTTTTACAAAATCATACCATAATAATAAAAATGTATTAATCTAGAAATCCAGAGCTGCACAAGTCTCTGTTTTGGAAGTGGTTTTTCAAGACACTGCTATAAACGAAGCCCTAGGTTTTTCTTCTATGATTAACAGAAAAACAAAGAGGATAGTAGCATGAGGACAGACTATGCCCTGCCTGTTATTCTGCTCGTGCCTACCTAGAATTATTTGTCCATTAAAAAAAACCATTAAATGTATGGTTCACTTGATAAATTAGAGGATTGGGTGGAAGCAACAAACCTGTTACATCTAGAACCGACAGGTTTTGTAAAGGGCATAATATGAATATTGCTCTAAAGGCCCTAATTTAAAAATATACTAATGGATATTAAAACAAACCACTTTGTGTTACATTTATGGCATTTGATGCCTTTCTCAGGATACTGCCCTTTCTTAGGATGGAAGTCTGGCTACTCTTAATCTCTTTTAAAATCTACTTTGCACTGTTAAGGCACTACATGAAATTAGCCCCCAATATCCCTTAATTAAACTCTGCTTCTTGCATCACAGGTACACCTCATCTTACAACCACAATACAACCCAGAATTTTGGTAGTAAATGACTGTGGTATTAAGCAAGATGCTCATATGACTGCCTTATTCACTGACCATATTGCCCGCTCTCCCAATTGTATTTGTTAATTGATCACCTAGTGCAGTGTTTCTCAACCTTGGCAACTTGAAGATGTCCGGACTTCAAGTCCCAGAATTCCCCAGCCAGCGAATGCTGGCTGGGGAATTCTGGGAGTTGAAGTCCGGACATCTTCAAGTTGCCAAGGTTGAGAAACACTGACCTAGTGGGTTAAGTGACCCAATGCAAGATACTTGGAGGTGGGGAGGCCTTGGAGGCCCAGTGCCAATTGGCACACATAAATCTGACACAGTTCCAGCAGCTGGCTAAACCAAGCTGCAGAGGGATCTCTTCCCTCTCCCTCCCCCCACTCCTGAAAGGCCTGGTCTTCTCCCTGTCCCACCACATCTGGAAGAACTCAGTTAGATCCAGTGGCATGCAGGCTGTTTCCTTCCCTCCTGCCACTCCCAAGAGTCCTGGGCCCAGCATGGAAGACCTTAGCGTATATCCCATTTTTTAACATTAGAAAATCCTCGTTCCCTTAGCAGTACATGTCATACTAGAACCTGGGGTAGCCTGTCTCAGAAATGTTCATTCCCTGTAGAATGTTGATTAATTATGGAGAATGCAGAAATTATATAGAAATGAAAATGGAACAGACTGTCTGGAATGTTTAGCAGCTGTATAAACTCACATTTAGTTGCATGTCTCACTTCTCATTTCCGATAAAGGTAAAAGACTAGTTTATAGTGCCCATTTCCTTTAAAAAATTATAGCAATTGCATTTTTTCCCTAGGATTTTCCTAACCTGAGGACTCCCCAAAACAACTCCTTCCAAAAATACATGGAATTTGAGTATGATTCAGTTATTCTATGTACTAGCACAAAGGATCAAAAAGTATCATAAAGCATTTACTTTTAATAGCAACCTTGAATAGCTTTAGAGAGTTAGAAATGTCGGTCTTTTGTTTTTCCCCCCTTCTTCACCAGTCTGCTTTTTAACTAGGAGATACAAGAGGTGGTGAAAAGGTTCAACATTTATCTTTATCTTCATTTTAGAAGCTTTGGTGCTCCTGGTCTCTTGACATCTGTTGAATTGCATTTAATTGTGCTCTTTTGTAGAGGAGAAAAGTATGATATTAAGAAACAGCCGTTCCATAGATCAGCAGGAGATAAGTCTTGAGAAAGAATTGACTGCCTTCTATACTTGTTCTTAGTTCAGCATTAAACAATTGCTTCCCACACCATGTGTGATTCCTGTGCTAAAGAAAAACAAAATAGGTAGAAAGAAAAGGTTGCTTTTGAACTGTGTGGCTTACTTTATATGTTTCAGCCACATAAAGTAACATTCCATTAGCATTTTAATTGTTACCAATTGGATACTTTGTACTTAGGACCTTAATACAATAGATAATAATAATAAAAGTTTTTAAAAAGGTAAGCAGCAGATTTGTAAAGTTGCAGGAACTAGGTTTGTATAGTCCAAGAAAGAGAAGGACTTGGGGAGAAACCAGTCTTCCAATACTTGAGGACTGCCACAGAGAAAGGTCCACCTATTCTCCAAAGTACCTGAAGGGCTGGACAAAAAATAATAGGTGTAGGATTATTAAAGAAAGATCCAACTTAGAATTAAGGCTTGCCTCCAGAAGTTGTGGGTGCTCCTTCACTGGAGGTTTTCAAGAAGAAGTTGGACAACCATTTGTCCGGAATGATATAAAGTCTTCTGTTTGAGCAGGAGCTTGGACTATGACCAAATAAATAATCCAGGTCTGTCTGTCTCTTCAGAGAGTAGCTGTAGTACAATCCTTATACTACTCAAGTTCTTGAATATTCAGGCTTCTGCTGTTTAAATAATGATGAATTTATTTGAAGAGTTGACAGTGAAGGCAGGATCCACTCTAACATTCATATTGAGATAAAATGACTGGATCCATTTACCTCATTAATTAAGGTGACCAGATTTTCAGATTGGTAAAGAGGGACACCTTTGACCGGGAGTGGGGGTGGGGGACTTGATTAAAAATTTTATACGGAGCAACAAAATTTTTCATACAATTAAAAAAATAGTATTGTAATATTTTTTTATTTCAACATAACTACAATTTACAAATATAAATTGTAACTGTTGCCAAACATCAAAATTTTGATCACGTGACCATGAGGATGCTGCAACGGTCGCTAAGTGTGAAAATGGTCACTAAGTGTGAAAATGGTCATCAGTTACTTTTTTCAATGCCATTGTAACTTTGGTCACTATACCACCTTTCTTGCCACAGTTCTTAAGTGAATAACTGCAGCTGGTATTTTGTATTTTGGATAGAATCTTTTTTTAAATAGTCTAAGACAATTTAAAAAAAGAATCCACGCAGAATAAATCGAAGTAAAACATTTCAAAGTATTGTGCATAGCATTTATTTTGGATAGAATCTTTTTTTAAATAGTCTAAGACAATTTAAAAAAAGAATCCACACAGAATAAAAATATTTTAAAAAATCCTATGCACAATAAATAAAATATTATTTTAAAATACATTTAAAAAATAAAAGAAAAAAACCCAGTTCACTTACCAGCAGGCACAAGTGAGCATTCCAAGTCAATCCAGAATGATGTAGATGTTAATACAAAGAACTGAGCAACTTAAAATGGTGAAATTAGTCAGGGAAATATTTTTCAAAGAAACTTTGCCACCATTTCTTCCGCTCTCCACCTCCGTGCCCCTCCCCTCTGGAAAATCCAGGAAGTAACACTCGCGGCTTCTCTAGCCAAGCATTTCCTGGAGCTCTATGGTACTTGGTCATTTTTTCTTATAAAATGAGGTAAAAGGGGCACGAGGGGGGGTCCGCTTTCTTGCTTTAATGTTTTAATATCTTCAATGAAAGTACTGAGACAGAGAGAGAGGTTAGTTAGACAGAGTGTCTTTTGTCTTGCCCCGGTTAGGATTTCTTAAGCAAATCCACTGGGCTTTCAACATGAAGCCAGAAAATCGGGACTTTTTTAAAACGCAGCGGGGCATGGGACAAATTGTTATAAAGCGTGACTGTCCCGCTGAAATTGGGACGTCTGGTCACCTTATCATTAATCTATAATATAGGATGCACCATTCATTTTACTCAAAAATTTGTCCTACCAGTTAAGATCTACTTAAACATATTTATGCTCCTACATTAAGTCTTACAGTTCTTCTTGTTTAATGCTCAAATCCTGTGTATTTGATTGTCATATTGGGTCTCTTTTAGCTCTATTCCCTCTGTAGCATTGATGAAGATCATAATTATAAAGGTCAGGCTGGCATATCAAATGAACTTAGAATTTGCTTTCAACTTTTTTTCTTCCTAACTGGACTCACTGTATTATTTGTTTTTGGTACACAAACAAATGGTTTGGATTATGAGAAGTGCAAAGCAGAAAGTAGTCTGTACTTTTATATTGCTGTAATTTAAAAAGATTTTATTTTTTTTCCCCTCAGAATAAATTTTACATAGAAACCAAGCTTAACCGAGATTTAAGAAATGATCTTATAAAACTGTTTACGGAACATGTTGCAGAAAAGCACATTTACAGCCTGATGCGTAAGTCTAAAATTTGAGATGATTCATTTTTTAATATAGTAATAAACTGCTGAATCATTAGTCGGAAAATGACAAAAATGAAAAGTATCTTAACACTAAATAGCCTGTCAAGAATTTAATTTTAATAGGATTAAAATGCCAGATTATAGCTGTTGGTTGTTGGGGAAAATTGCAATGTAATTGTGTACTTGTTTAGTTAAATACAAGAATTTTCTGAGCCAGAGATATACAGGTAGTTCTTGGCTTATGACCATAATTGAGCTCAAAATTTCTGTTGCTATGCATGATTATTGTTAAGTGAGTCCCCTTCTTTATGGTCTTCCTTACCAGAGCTGTTAAGTGAATCATTGCAGTTGTTAAGTTAGTAATCTAGTTGTTACACAAATCTGGCTTCGCCATTGACTCTTCTTATTAGAAGGTCACAAAAGGTGATCACTTGTCCCCAGGACACTGCAACCATCGTAATAAATACATGTCATTTGCCAAGCATCCAAATTTTGATCTGTGACTGTGAGGATATTGCAATGGTCATAAGTGTGAAAAATGGTCATAAGTCTTTTTTTCAGTCCCATTGTAACTTTAAATGGTCACTAATAAATGGCTGTAAGTCAAGGACTACTTGAAATATGTATTTCTTTGGTAGCATATTCTATTACAGTACAGCTGTCTTCAATTATCTTTGCTTTTGCTATAAGTGCTATTAGTTTCTTCAGATACCTGTGTTGACGTTGATTAGACTGTCACAATTTCTGTCAAGGGAACTATTGAGCAACAAAATAAGAAAACTCCTGCCCCAAACGTAACCTTTGCTGAATGAGTTTAATCTTGCAATTCGACCTGTGGATTGTGGTACTCCCATTGTTAATATCACATTTTTGTGGTGGTTTTTCTCCTTAAAGCAGGGCTATCAAACTCAAGGCTGGATTTGGTTTGTGGGATGCTTAGATCTGGCCTTTGGGGGTCTCCCCGGAAATAGCAAAGGACCGGACCACGGTGCTACTGCCAGCAAAAATGGAACTTTTCTCTGGCAGTGGGCTGCAAGAGGATCCCCTTAGCTACGCCTGGACCACCCCTGAAATGAGTGATGTCAAGTTGGCCATGCTCATCCTGCCTATCCCTGCCCTGCCCTTTTGCCGCCCCCCTCCCCCGAAGTCAAACACAACCCTGATGCGGCCCGTAATGAGTTTAACACCTATCTTAAAGCTTTCAATCTGACAAGATTGATTTAAGCCTTTAAGGTAGTCCAGACCAGGAACCAAACTCAAGAGTATTGCCGTAGTATTACCTTTATCGAAAAGTTATGTAACAGAATCTTGCAAATCTGAAACCGTTTCCCCCTTCCTCTACTTTTACCTTCCGTAGAACTAGGGAGAGTCACTTATGAAACCCTATCTCCATTCCTGCTTTCATCAAACCGTGGTCTAGACTGCAGCTCTCCCTTCTGTCTTTCATAATTATTCTCACAGCCCATTTATTCAGCAGTACAATATAATCCTCATTATTAATATGAAGATCATTTTAATTATTAAGCTAGCTAAACAGAAGGTGCATTGCATGTATTTATATCCAAGGATTGGTTTTCATAGTAACTAAAAAAAAGGTAATCTTTCTAAATGCTAAATTGCCTTCCCAACTTGAAACCAGCTGAATAAACTATTGGCATTGCCATTTTAGCAGCGGGTTACTGTTTTCACAGTTTATGGCTGCATCTTCTATCTAAATCATTTTCAGTATTATTTTAACATTACTGACATTGGCAGTACTGTTACAACATTTAGGGTTAGAAGGTAATTGCTAAAAATGAAAAATCAATTCCATACATTCGACTTTGTTATGATGGAGTCATTTAAAATAGCAGTCACAGAAATAATACCGTCTCCATGAAGAAAGGCTAGCAGAATTTTAGTTTAATTATCTACCTCATTTGCATATGGTACTAAGATGTAATGTGATACGGCTTTTTTTTGTAAACATATTTTCAGTTTATTTAGTTTAGAAATAAACTGAGGCACAAGGGTGCAATTTAAAATCCTGATGCAATCTTTATTATCTTGTTCTGTGCCCACTCGTTCTGATTAATGGTAAAAGGAAAAATTATTTAAACAAGTCAAGATTACAGCATTTTTCTTACCGTGTGCTTGGTGCTTTCTGAGCTTGGTTATAGAGTTTCATTAACTATTAGCTAGCATAATCAATGCTGGATTATATACAGAAATTTGCCCTGCCAATGTTGGTAGAGGCTATAATTTAATTTAATTCTTATTTCTGTAGAGTAAGAAGCCTTGATCATTTAGTTAACAAATTCTGAAGTTGTGAAATTTATAATTGTAAGATGTTTTATGTGTACCTGGCCACAGTGTAGTAACTAGAAATGTATCTAGTGCATGAATTTGTTAGTCATAATAGTTAAATATTTCATATTGTATGTTAAGAATCTTCATCTTACATGTTCAGAGTTTCTTGCTTTTATTCTTGAAATCTTAAAGGTGAAGCTATTGTTCTTATGCCTTTTTAAGCATCCAAGTAGCTTAGCCAAGGCCATTAATCTATAGGTTGTCTTCTGTTTTCATTGTTGTTTGCACACATAAGTAAGGTCAGCTGAGTACTTGTAAAGGATGAAAGCAAAGGATTGCGGAATGCTGAGAATCTATGAATTGTTTTGTATTCTCAGCTGACCTTCAACAGTTCTTCTTTCGTTTTTCATACATATTTTAGAAATACCTTGAACATTCTTCTGATGTGATTTTAATTCAGTTACTTGATTTTTTAAAATATATTTAGCCATCCAAATAAAATAGCAATAGCAATAGCAGTTAGACTTATATACCGCTTCATAGGGCTTTCAGCCCTCTCTAAGTGGTTTACAGAGTCAGCATATTGCCCCCAACAACAATCCGGGTCATCATTTTACTCACCTCGGAAGGATGGAAGGCTGAGTCAACCCTGAGCCAGTGAGATTTGAACAGCCGAACTGCAGAACTGCAGCCAGCTGAAGTAGCCTGCAGTGCTGCATTTAACCACTGCGCCACCTCGGCTCTCTATATTCATATAACGAAATCTAACTTTTACAGAGATTAGCTTGCCCATACTCAACCACTTATCAATTAAATCCTACCATTGTAGAGAAGAAAATGAACCACAGTTGCTGTTTGATATTTGATAAAAGTGCCTAGACGATTATTTTTATTACAAATTTGGTTTTTAGTTGCTCAGTTGCATAAAATTACAATTTTGCTAAAAGTTGTGTAGAGATTTTACAAAGATTGTCTTTGGGTCTGACAAAAGGAAATTGACAAAGAGGAAATTCCTTGCTGAGCTTTCTCATCCTATTTACAGATAGTTCTCGTTTAACAACCAGGGGACTGGAATCTCAACTATTAAGCAAAGTAGTCATTAAGTGAGATGCCAATGTGACTCTTTTGCTCAATGAGCACAATCCTGGCACAGTTGCAGTTGTTAAGCAATCTCCCAAGCCACTATGCAAAAGAGTTGCCTGCTGAAGAATTTTACCCTTTTACTCTCAAACTTTCCTGTCATCAAAGGATTTCAGCTCCCCTCAATGCCCAGAAGGAAAGTTGTTTGTGGGGCTGTAGGAGTGGAGCTGAAATCTTCAAGATTTCCTTTCTCTTCCACTTGTAATCTTTCTTGCTAACTTCACTGTTGACTTTCTGGGAAGCAGGCTGAGAAGAATGCAAATGGCAATCACATGATCGTGGGACACCTGGCAAGTGGATGAAATGTGTCAGGTGACTATAGAGGGTGAAGATTAATGATGGCTAGAAGTGCTTAACAGACCATTAAGCATCCTTTCCTAGGTTGTTAAACATTTGGACAGTTATTAAAACAACTGGTCATAAGTAGAGGGCTATCTGTACTTAATGGAAAATGAGAAAAGTGATTTAAACTTTTTAATTTGTTTGCATTTCTAATTATTAGGATTTCATCAGGAGACATGAATTCTGTGTTCTTATTGAAAACACACGGAAAAGAAAAGGAATAACTTGCACATGATTTGACATTTGCATGAGATCTTTCTGGATTTCTCTTGCCATTTAAAAAACTTTCCCAGTGCTTTAACTTCTGTTTAACTGTTTAATAAATTTATAGGCCACCCAATCCCAGAGGACTTATAAAAACTTTTCCTTTAATATTTAAGTAGAATAAATTCATTTGGGTAGACTAGAATAACAATCCATTGCGTACATTCGTGTTATAAAAATCAATATCTGAAGTAAAATTAATTTGCAAATGAGTGTATTTTCTCCTTTCAGCTTTACTTCTAGAAGCTCAGTCCACACCTTTTTGGATAAACCCTTCTACGATGGCAAACATTGTCAAAGGATTATACATGCTTAGGCCAGGTAAAATATCCTTTTCGTACTTGTTCATTTTTATGAAATGATCTTGTCAAAAGCTGCATGCAATAAATTCCTTGAAGAGATCATATACACCTATAAGAAACAAATCCAACTCCTACATCAGAACCATATCAAGATAAAATACTTCACCATACAAGTATTAATAAATTCTGCAGCAATTTGTGATAGCGTTTGTTTATCACGTATTTGATATATTTGTTCCATCAATTTGGAACAAATATGTGCAACTGTTTTGCCTTGTTCTCAAAAAGAGAGATTGAGTAATCTAAAACCTTTATCAAAGGTGATCTTTTACAGCATTTCTCATTTTGTATGCAGCACCTTAGATTTGATTTTTTTTTAAAAAAAATTATGGCATAAGAAAGAATTTGAACTTAACCCCTGTTAAATCCCTTAAGTATTTTTTTTCTCATTAGCTGTTGCTTTCCATTTCTACACAGAATGGGTTCAGATGGCACCAGCTTTATTTTCTAAATTTATTCCAAACATCCTTCCTCCTGCTGTAGAATCTGAGCTTGAGGAATATGCTGCTCAGGACCAGAAACTTCAACAAGAACTTATTCAAGAGGGATTTTCCAGGTAACTATACCAACTTTTCCAACATCTTTCTTTGCTGATCTGTAAATTATGCAGATAAATTTGGGTATTACGTAGTTCTTAGTTGTTTTTAACTATTTTAATGACTATTTTGTATTGAACGTTTAACTTTTATTTTAATTGTATTCCCTGCCCAGGGATACAGTGCATGCAAGTAAGATGGGCAATATTTACAAATTCAATAAAATAAATAAATAAATAAACTAGTGCAACATATCATTTGAAGGGTTCCACCACAAAACCGCGGTAGACAAAAGCGCGCTCGACGAAAGCGCGTACGTGACGTCATCACAGCGCAACGAAAACATCGCGCTGTGAGCGGTAAATTTAAAATTAAAGCAAAAACCTTACCCTAACCCCCTCAAACCTAACCCTAAACCTAACCCTAAACCTAACGCTAAACCTAACCCTAACCCTAACCCTAACCCNGGTGAGATTTGAACAGCCGAACTGCAGAACTGCAGTCAGCTGAAGTAGCCTGCAGTGCTGCACTCTAACCACTATGCCACCTCGGCTCTTGGCTTGCTGCCAAGGTCCTGTCTGTGTGTCAATAAATGTTTGCAGTATCTTTGTCTCGGCGTGCTTTGGTGTAGGATGAGGGGGTCAGAACACTAAGTAATGTTGGTATACAATGTGTGTACAGGTTTCTCACAAAACCACTGGAATGAAAGGAGTCCCTGAACCTGTAAGGAATAACTTTTCAGGGGTGGGCTTCAAAATTTTTAGCAAGGGGTTCTCTGCCCGATTCTCTGCTGGATGTGTGTGGCAATGGTGGACATGGCCTAATCGGCTTCCTACACCATGGTGGGGACTTTTCTCGAGCCTCTGGGAGGGCAAAAACCCTTCCTGGCCTTCAGAAATGCCCTCTGGAGGCCAGAAACGCCTTACTGAACTTCTGGTAGGCCTGTTTTTTGCCCTCCCTGAGCCTCTGTGTGAACCCTGCACTTACCTGCATCGAAAACGGGCTGCATGGGGACTCCTGGGAAGGGCAGGGCAGGGTGGGCGAGGCCAGCCACAGTGGGATTTGGGAGTTCTCCAAACTGCACAGAAACTTTAGTTAGAGGTTTTCCTGAACCCCCAGCAGCCCACTCCTGCTTTTGATCAACAATTATTTTTTTAAAAAAGTTACGGTTTTAGCCAAAAGATCGGTGAAATGAGTAAGACAAGTACACGGGATTCCAAACGGGCAAGTTAAGTTCTATGAATATTTATGACTCATCTTCCAAAACTAAAAATCATTTATTTACTTACTTATTTACATATATGCATATGCATGCATCCTATTCTAGTGACTGTATACTGGTTTCTGAAAGGAGCACATTAAACATCTTGTTAAAAAGAAAATTGTTGCTACTATTTTTAAGATTCTTTCAGATTAGCTGCAATTAAAAGTTTTGAGATGATGGTTCTGTCTCAGTTGTTAGATGGGAGCCCAATTATTCACTCACAAGTTTCCATGTTATTTCGACCAGTTTTATTTATAAATGAATACTTCCTCACTTAAGTTCAGTGACTGTTGCAAATTGCAATGCCACTGAATGAGATGAACTTATGAAGGGTTCTTACAGTTCTGGCATTCGCTGGCTGGGGAATTCTGGGAGTTGAAGTCCGGACATCTTCAAGTTGCCAAGGTTGAGAAACACTGGTATAGAATATTACATATAGAATGAAAAAAAGTCCCCATGGTCATGGGATTGTTTAGCAACCAACTCACAGTTCCGACATCACAAAATCCCCGTGGTCCAGTGCTGGGTTGCAGGTGGTACGCCCCGGTACGGGCGTATCGGAGCCAGCCCGGAGCACCAGATACCGTTCTGGTACGGTGCTCCGGAGGCCCCATCTGCCCGCCCTCGCTCCTTACCTGTGCTTTACACACACGCGCACGAGCAGCTGGAGTGTCACGGAGGCTTGCGGAAGCACCACAGGCAAGCATGATACATGCGCACGCCGCACATGTGCGCCCGCACACCACACGCATGCATGTGGGTGATGCCGGGACCGTTCCAACCATACCAGCTGGAACGGAATCCAGAACCCACCACTGCCGTGGTCATATGATCACCTTTTGTGACTGTCACTTCAGCTTCTCACAAGCAGAATCAATAGGGAAGCCAGAAGGTATCATAAATGGTGCTAACCCTGACCATGGAACACTGTGACTGCACAGGATTTGC